TGGGGCTCATCCTTGAAGCCGAGTTCGGCTCGCCACCCGCAAACCGATGGTCAAGCGGAAAGGGCGCATCAGATCGCTCAAGTCCTTCTCCGCACTCTCATCCGTCCCGACCAGGTTGATTGGGTTGAACGCTTACCAGACGTTGAGTTGGCTTACAACTCATCGATCCACCCGGCTATCGGGATGTCGCCATTCGAGTTTGAGCATGGTTCACCCATCTCATCGCCGCTGGACGCTACTTTGCCGCGCACAGCCGAGAGCGACGACCATCTTGCGTTACTTCGTCGCATGCAAGAGCTTCTTGTCAAGGCACGGGATCAGATGTCGAAGACRCAAATACGGATGAGCCGTCAAGCCAACCCCAATCGCCTTCCTTGCCCGTTCCGCGTCGGCGATCTGGTTTGGGTCTCCGCAGCGGAGTTCAGCCTTGAGCAAGACATCTCTCGCAAGCTCCTTCCCAAGTGGATGGGGCCTTGGCACATTCTCTCTGCAGCTGGTGATGATCCCGAGGGACCCTCATTCCGCATCGCGGTGCCACCTCACTTGCCCGTCCACACGGTGTTCCACTGTTCCAAACTCGCTCCTTTTGTTTCAGCGGAGTCCGACGAGTTTCCCGGTCGACGTACGCAAGACCCTCCTTCCATGGACGGATTTCAGGAGGCCGGCTACATCATCACCGACCGGCGCCATGGCAACAAAGAAACAGAGTTTCTACTTCACTTTTCGTACTGCAGCAGGCTGACCGTTGGCTGACACGTTCGGAACTGCAGGCCACAGCCCCCGCCGTTCTCTCACGCTATCTTAGCAAAGGGAAGACTACGCATAGCACTCCAGCTCCTCGCCATCCTCGCTACATTCCGCCATCGGATCGGCAGCTTCGCCCGCGCCCCGGCTCGTCTTCATAAGGAGGGGGGCGTGTTACATGCTGAAAGCCTACACACGGGCCCCTCACGGGACCCGAGGTTGGAATAGGGCCCCCAGGTCGCGTCACCGCAACCTGAAGGCCCTATGRCATTTTTACTTGGGCCTGCATCAGAAAAACGCCAGCTTTAGATTATTTTTATAGTTTTTATTTTATTTATTTGCTGCTGTTTTTCTAACGGGTGTACTGTTGTCCGTTTTGTGGCCAGGTACAMGCTTCTASGGCCAGGGCCAGATTCAGGCCCAGAGGCTGAGCTCCTAAAAACGTTTGGACCTTTTCTTTTGTTTTCGAATAGATTTTGACCTGTTCGAACCCAGGCCGACGTTGAGGCCGGGTACGTCCGCACAKGACYGGTTTGAAGCCAGGTACCAGGAAGATTAATCCTGGACAGGGCCTGGACGTCCGGTAGGGACCCAGGCAGGCCGTTTTAGGCCAAGGACTGAACCAGTTTTCGAAGCCTGCGATCTGGACCGTGGATCGGAGTTTYGATCTGCACGGTCCAGAACGCAGGCCGTGGGTTTTCAGTCCTGGCCCAGCACTACTTAGGGCCATTGCCCAGTTCGGACACAGAAGGTACCAGGAGAAATCCAGCGTTATGCTGGTTCAGGAACTTGGCTGCTGCGCTATTTTGGAGACTCCCTGCTGCGCCATTTTGAGACTGCAGCTGCGCTGCTCATCGGCCATGAGGCACAGCGCTGGAGGAGTCCAGCGCCGAGGAGGGTAGTGGAGTTAGAGAGAGAGAGAGAGAGAGAGAGAGAAGAG